CCCCGCGCTTTAATATTGCAAGCTGTTTCAGGCGCTGCTCGCCCGAGTGGTTTCTGCAAATTTATCGGCCGGCTGTCTGAAAGATTATCAATTAAGAGTAGCTTTAAGATGCGGAGTGAACTTTGCGGTTGAAATTAGCGAATGTCAAATGAAAAGTTCGATGAAGTGGTGCAGTTCCTGATTCGAGATTTCGAATCCATCAAGCGTAAATTTTTCAAATAGCTTGAAATGGCCAAATATCAAAGTATACTAACACCTTAAGGGCAGCTTGCAGTTGTGACTTATCGTGCGAAACTTTTCCGTTCAAACAAATTCAATTCCGCGATAGCAATGACATTAGCTTTCCTTACTTCAAAGCTAGTTACATTCTAATTTTTTCTCTCTGTCGACTTGTAAATAACCGCAGGATAATCACCATTAACGATCGCCAACAATTAATATCGGCACGAGTTACATCTTTATTATTTGTGTGTTCGCGAAGCGAGCGTGTAAATATTATGTGTGAATTATCGGCGTAAATATGCATGACGCCCGGTTGAGACGAAAAGGAGAGGAGAATGGCGCGTATAATTGAATCGCTAATTAAATTACGCCAGGCGGTATCACGCGAGGGCGCTGCAAAGGGCGAGCTGCTTCGATCTTCGGCCGGAGGAGCCACCGCCCTTCGCAGGATTCGACGATTAGGGACTAAGGAGGCTCGCGTGAGAAAGAACTGAGCGGATTTCGTGTTTTCCGAGGAGGGCGCGCGGAACATCTGACTGTCGCGAACCCGAGAAAAGGGCCTTTCCCCTTCCTCCTCTCCACGAGAAATTACCAGCACATTAGGCCATGCGAGGATATTTCCTTGTCGGAGCGCCTTCGAGGAACGTTCGGAAATTACAGATGCGGCCGCTAAAAGCCGTCAGTTTTGCTCCAATTAACCCTCTCGCGGATCAATCCTTCTTTTTCCTCCGTTCCGACCCAATGGAGCGATGTCACGCGTAAAAAGCAGTTCATCATTCGAGAAACGTTTCCTTTTATGGATGCGGCCGAGCATTTTTGTCAAATATTAAAAAAACTTTCCTCCTATATTCCAACAATAAATAACTGTAAAATTTAGTCTATCTTATTTTATCACGTGAAAAACTTACGGTTATTTATTGATTTTTAAAATGAAGGGAAAATCGTTGGAATATTCTACAAATGCGTTCAGTAAATCACATATCATTTTACGGTCATATTTTTTTCATTTCAATTTATTCTGCAAGAATGTTGGGCATACGTTTTCTCCCTTCTGACAACATCGCATTTTAATTCTGTACAGCCGATAATGAGCAGCGCATTAAAAAATTTCTGGTAAAACATGATGACTTCTCTAGGATCTCCTTAAGATCTCTCTAGATCTCTCTTCGCATTATAAATTGTACGAATCGTTTCCTAACTAACTCGACTTGCCTTCCTACGTTCTCCGAGAAGTCGAAGACCAGACTAGTATCATGTAAAGTTAAATTATTATGCAGCACGATGGGATATTTCTCGCGGCGAACGATCTGTTTTGATTCCCTGTGAATAAATTGAAGACCATCCTGTCATCAAGTTCGCGAGCGAGTTCTCACATGATCCAGCGGGCGCTCTTTTAATACGAGATTTAATTGATCGAAAAACGCGGCGAAAAATTCGAATCGGCCGTTTCGTTTTTATTTATAGAACAGTCGTCTCCCCCATCAGCCTGCGGTACTCGAGGGGTGACATTTTAATGGGTAACGGCGGTGGCCTCTAATTAGAACGTTTCGACCGTAACCGCGCTATTACGGGGGAAAACGCAGACTCGTCAGATCGATGAGGAATATTTATCGCGGTGTAACAATTACGAGAGAGCTCTGCGCGAATAGTAATAGGTGGCCGGCGGGGCCACTTTCTCTCTCTCTCTCTCTCTCGCCGGCAAACGACTGTAATTAGGGCTTTTATTGTCTGTACATAAGGAAGCTTTATGAAAACATTAAGGATATAATTCAAGGCCGGTGAAGTCCTCCGCGCCATGAATTGCAGCCGGGGCCTTAATGCATAGGAGACCGCGTCGGCTGACTGGCTCGCTGCGTCATTTCCGTTTTGCGTACACACGCACTCCGGGACCGCCACTACCTGCTCTCTCCCGAACGGTGTAATTTGATTTCTGGTATTTTCAGCGAGCAACGCGTGATTAAGCTATTTTGAAAAGAGGAAGAGTTTCGCAATTTGTGCTTATTTCTCGACCATTACTGCAATTGCCGGATAGATTTACGGCGGATGTAAATATCAGAAATGTTAAAAGTATAGCAAAGAAAGATATGAATCACAAACTCGCGCCTAAATAACCGTCGAATCGATGCTGCTCGCGGAACTCGGCTAATAGAGTTCGGGCCCTTGACAGCGATATTTCACGAGAACGAGAAGAGAAATGGCCGGTGTGTGGTCCGGCACGTCCGAGTGGACGGCGATTAGCCTCCAGTCCCCTAATCCCTCTCGCCCATTTCCTCTTTTCTGTCGGAGGATTACACATCCGCGCTCGGTGCACTCGAGAGGGTATTTAGACGACCGCGGGTGTGTGAATGTGTAGCGCGCACCGGGTGTCGTGTTACGTGCTAAGCGGTAACTGAGACGCGCGAACTGCACACCGGACCCATTGTTCCAGGGGTCTCCCTGCAACCACTGCGCGTCCAATGCTGCCCTTGTTCGTGGACCTCTCGCTTCAATCGATTTCGCGATTCTATCAATAAGGTACCTGTCGGCGGTGACTGCCGGATATACGATGATTAGTATTTTAAGAGGACGCAACAATCTGAAGACGAATCGTTCTAATGGAACGTTTTTTTTTTACTATCCTTATTTATTCTTTTGTATATCCCTTTGGTATGAGCTCAGTACATAATTCACCGAAATTTCAAAAAGAGAAAGAAAGCTAAACACAAAGAAAAAGAACCGAAACTATGATAATATGAATACGGAAAGAAGAGGCGCGAAGACAATTTAGGAAGAATTCAAATGTTTGATAATAGTATTTTTAAAAGAAATAAAGTGATACCAAATAAAGACAACTGACCCTTCCATATGCTGTGCATTTCAACACGAAATAACTTCTCAGAATCGATAGAGAAGATAAAGAAACGGTAGATAAAGATATAAACCCGTCCGCGGTTTTAGTAGAGTTCGCTGCCGATCTTCTTTTCGGAAGGTTCGTCTCATGCAATCGGCCAATCTTTCTTTTTTCTCGCTTCGCGCGACTCATGCACAGTCACGATGCAACTTATAAGAGAGCTCTCGTCGTACCGAGAACGGTAACTCCGGTCCAGCGAAACCCTTGGACCCTTCTCGCCTCGATTGACCGAGTGTCACGGTGACCCTCAGGGTAACTAGACCCGCGAGAATCCCCCAACCACGGGGACAGAATCATTAAAGAGAACCCCGTTGGGATTGAATTGTATGACGAGAGACGTTGGTCGCGCGACATGACAAAGTGCTTCACGGTCGTGCCGACGACGATCGGAAATGGAGGAATTGAATGTCGCTGCAATTTTCTCGGACACACGAAAATGATACACCTCTCGTATCGATCAATATATTTCGTGTATCTCTCCCCTGACGCAAGTAGTTCTTCAAATAATCGGATTGCCAGACATGATAGTTTCTTTCTTTACACGGTTTTCTATGATATCATGAACGCTAATTATTTACAACAATGGTAACATTTTATATATACGACAGTGCGACAGTAGATTGTGAAAATTTCAAGAATTCGCAGACCCGCATTTCGATCTAAATAGAAATATACTTTTCTTTGTTATATATGATTTCATGTAAGAAATGCTAAGATATCGAGCGCAGGGTATTTATGAAAGGGATCCTGAAGGTCGGTTCGCGGAATCGGATGATCGATAGGAGGTATCATTCGGTCCAAATTATCCGACGGGATATCAAGTTGTCTCTCAACCATCACTTGACTTCCGAGAAGAACTGGCAGCCACCCATCGTCTTTTCTCGAGGTCTGAAACTAGATAGAAAACGGCGTGCCTCCCCATTTTCAGTAGGATACTCGAAAATTCGTACTCAAGTCAACAAAATTTCAGAGGTGTTTTTATATCGTTTGTGCATTTTCGTGAAATTGAATGGTACTTATCCTGTAAAGTTTACTTCATTCGGATAGATGATTCAACGCGTTCTGCGCGAAATCGAAAGCAATTAAGGGCTCTCTCACGATAACGTAATGAAGTCTTAATAATTAAGATGGACCGGCCGATAATCGGCTTACGCTCCGCTCCCGCGCATAATCACGAAAGTAGGAAGTGACTCGCCGCGCAATGAGACTCCATCGTTAATTATCGTCGGCATAGAGGAGGAAGGAGGGAGGATCTCTCGCTGTTCGCGACGCGTTTTCGATCGGCCAATAATCCGCTCGTTAGCGTTTCTGCCGATAGTAACGAAGGCGCGTCCGCACACAATCGCCCGTAATTAACCCTAATTAAGCACGTGTCTAACGTACGAAATCATCCATCACGTTGCCGAGAGATGGTAGGAAGGGACACGCGAGATGGAAGAGACTCTAAGCGATCGTCGTTGCGTGCGTTCCTACGAGAGAAAAGCTCGTCTTAATTATCCGCCATTCTCCTCTATCCCTCTCCTCCTCGTCGGCCGTAAAGGAATCTCATTGATTTACTCCCTTTTAAGTGCCATTAATGCCGATAACGTCGATCGATTAATCAGCCGAGCAGCGTGCCGCCTCTTTCTCGCCTTAAGGACCAACGATTTTATCTCGCGTTCCCAGGATTTATTCGCTCGATCTGGCTGGGCGCGAAGTAAAGCGCGCGACGATAGCGCGCGTTCTGCTTGGAAACTCTCGCACGGGAAAAGTTTCAACATCATTGAAATTAATAAGACACTTTACGGTGGAAAAATAGATCGGTCAATTATCATAGACGCTTTCCGACCCTCAGATTTCCTATTTATCTAATCCTTTCATTCCACTCTTTTCCACTCGATTGTTCCAGGGACCCCATGGAGATGATGGAGCAACAACTGATGAGATGTGTCGTGCCCCCGGTCAGACTTTACGAGCACTTAGCCATATCGTCCCCGGCGGCGGCGGCCGCCGCCGCAGCGCTCGGTGCGCAGCAACAACAGCACCACCAGTCGTCCGCGCAGCAGCAGCAACACGAGAACTCGTTACCGTGGCTAACACAGTCGCCGCTCTTGTACGGCGCAAGGGCTGCCGCGGGCTCACCCTCGCCCTACTCCACCCCCGCCGCCGTCGGCCCGGCCTTCCCGTATCATCCCGTCTGGTCCTGGCAACCACCCCCGATCACAATGATCTCGCGACGATCGTCACCCCCCATCGCCCCTGCGCCCCCCGGCCTCAGGTATGTACCGTATCAAGCGACGGCGAGCACACCCCCGCCGCTGCGGGCACGCCCGTCCTCCCCCAATTAGCGATCCCCCTCGGCGACTGCTGCGTTCCTTCTCCCTCTGTCTGTGATCGAGCGACTGAAATCGAAAACCGGGCTCTGTCTTGGCGAGCTCGCTTGGACGAATCGTGGATAGCGTTGTGGAAATTAAGTGAAGCGCGTCGTCATTGTTCGGACAGCTGTGGATGAAGTAACGCATACTTTTACCCTACGTCTACGTAAATTTATCGATTGAATATAGGCCCGGATGTGCAATAGGTGTAGCGAGCCTTTGCGTAATTTAACATTTGGATCTTAGGAAGTGAGAATGCTGTGCACGTTAGAGCTGAAAGCTAAAGATTAGCTATATCTATTGTAGATCCGGCCTAAAGTGACCATTGTTCTTTTCAAATTTAATTCATTTTACTACTGTTTAAATCGATAAGTATTTAAAAGTAAAATCCGTTGTACACGTTGTAATTCTCCGTCTGTGATAGATAGATGAAAATATTTTTAATTTAGTTTTTTTATGGAATGGTGACTGACCACTAAATTTATCTTGTGATGCAATATTCGGTGTGTTAAATTTTTCGCCGGTTACTCGCTTTATCTATACTATAATAAGAAACAAAGTACTTTCTATACTGATTAAATAATATTTTTCTTGGTCTCCGTTGGACGCGCACAGGAGAATGAAGGAGGGTTAGTATTCCGCGTCGAGATGATATCAAACGGGAATTTCGGGAATGTAATGTAACTTCGTGTTCAATCGTCGCATAACGTTGTGATTATTGTGGTGTGCATTCAAGAACTTACGATAGCCTTCCGCTAACCGAACATTCGTATGTTTGCGAATAATAATCAAGATATCCATCGCGTCTTTCAATCGGTAACATCACTTAGTTCCACATCGCGAGGAAACGAGGGAGGACGGTGTGCAACGTATGCCTAGTGTTCGCGTTTCTCGGTAACACCCAGGTGCAGCCAAAGAACTAACCCTAGCGCCCAATGTTAACCGTGTAATGTGTAGGTATTTATATAAATGTATAATTCTGTATGCATGTCCTTTCGTTGATATGCACGAGGCGAGCGCATTTCCCTCTCCCTCCTTCCTAAAAATAACGCTTCCTTCCTTCTCTCCGTTGAGTTTCAAGACTGAACATGTCACTTGGATGATATAGATCCGGAGGATCAATCATGTTGGTGATCCTGCCGTGAAAGTTCAGTCGCAGGACATCTTCGTGCTCACTGTAGAGATCGGATTGCACGAAAAAGAAGGCTCGCGTCGATGAATCTTCTTGCCGATTTCGTTCGATTTGTAAATAATGTTCCGCGCGTATTAGCAGGAACAAATTTTTATGGTAACGTGATCACCGTACGCAAGTGTCCTCGTACATGTGTTTGTTCGAGCGTTTATGCAATTTGAGTACGTGTATGTATGTGTGGGTGATGGGACGAATGAAAGTCATAATTGTATTATATACCGCGATAGTATTATAACGCGTCTTTCTTCGGGCGCTATAATTTGTACAGAAAGAATTTCTTTGACAGTAGCGAGTAGTTGAGCATCGCGTATTTCTCGATGTAGCACGACAGAAATAAATGAATTTTCATTAATCGGCCCAGATCACTCCCATTCGTTTCTCATCAGAATTATTTTCTCTATCGTGTACCTTGATTATACACTTCACTTCGTGTTTATAAATAAATTATATTTTATTATATTACGAAACGATTAATTCCAAATAAAATCTATCTTCTTTTCAGACTCCAACGGAAAAACAATGAAGAGTAATGGTTGAATTGCGAAAGAAGTTTATACAAATAATTTTCATTGTACTATTAGGAGTTTGCAACAGAAAGGTGGTATATAATGATTAACAATAAATTAACGAGAGTGAATTCTTACCTTGAATGAATTCACCCCAAAGGCGATCGGCTGGAAAGGTGATGGCGAGTATTATGCTATCGCAACGTTTAAAATCAAGACGAAACGTTCGGACAAGAAAAAAATTCTGTTCGAGAACAACGCACAAATTAATGTTGGCAAAATTGCATGAATGAAAGTTCGATTCTTCATTCATCGTACTCTCCTGCCTAGACCGACTACATTACGAGAATCTATTTTGGTTAATTATTAGCGATTTTGACGATCCTCCGCGCTTGCAAGAACGTCTCTCTCTTGCTTTTTCGCTCCATCATTTTCTCACTCTCCGACTCTCTCGCCCTTCTCGAAGTATATCTGAGAACCAACGCCGTAGGCTAGGGTTAATATCTCACCGCCGTCGTTCCCGGCGAAATCATCGCGGAACGAGGCGTGAGAAAATGATTATGTTCGGCAAGGCTGCCTTCTCGTCAAGAGTACCCGCCGATACTTTATAAAGCGTATTTATGCATTTAATATGCGTGCGTACGAGAATGAAACAGAAACGAGAAGAAGAGACAACAATTTGTGGAAGATCTGGAAAATAGTGAAGCGATAAAGAAGCAAGAAGGGACTGCAAGAGGTAGGAAGGGATAGGTACAGGTGCAAAACAGACTGTAACCACTTCGTGGTAGAAGTGAATGCAGCGAAGCGGGTGAAGAAGCGTCTTCCCCGAGAGCCTCGTAAAATGGAAATCAATTACATATACACTTAACCACTTAAACTGGTTTCGCTACGGTCCTAAAGCTTGCCCCGCCATCTCTCTTTTTCTTCTTCCCTTTCTCGCCCTTATCTTTTTCTCTTTTTTCTTTCTCTTCTCTTCTTGTCGCGTGGAGATGAGCAGCGGCACAGAGCGGGGGAGGAGGGAGGTATGTATTGAGAATGCGCACATGTAATATGAAGGAAAAAGTTACAAAAATGAAGGATGAGGAAAAAATGAAAGGAAAAAATATCGATAACAGAGGGTCGATTCCACATTTAAAGTTTTTATCATGGAAGGAGCGTCATACCGCATCTAACTCAGCTTTGATTGCGATTTTCCCTTCAAATAAAAGAATTTTGCCACAGCACGATACTCGATTTTGTCCATTGTTGACAAATTATAACAACTATTCAATTTGGAAAACTGTCATAGAAAAACTAGATGTCAGACTGATCTAAAAAGAATGGCTGTGGACGTTTGTCAGTGCCATCTGTTGGATTACAATGGAACTGTGATGCAAGTCTTATTCTTTCTTGGTCAGGCAAACATTCCAATTGACTCTCGTAGATAGATAGAGATGGATTATCTTTAACGAATTATCTTTTTTAATGAATAAAACTAATGGTGATATCTTTAAAAAAAAATATATATATATATATTGTAATCAATATATATAATACTAAACGATAAAAGCCAAATATAGATACATTTCTCAAAATGCTTTTCCAAATCCTATTTTTGTTTTCAGATTTAGTTCCTCCTGAGAGAGAAATGAAGGAGTAAGAAAAACAGAGAGAAATATGTTAAGGAGCCACGTATGGAGCAGCCGGTGAGCAACGCTAAAGGCTTCACCTCCTGTTCCTCTTCTCTTTCTCCTCTCCTTTTTCGTACTCTCCTTGTTCTTCTTCTACTACTACTATTACTTCTTCGTCTTCTGCTCTTCGTTGGTCTGCGGCTCGCCGCAGATCATTCGTATCAACATAATTACAAGCTCGGGTGCCGCCTCTGTTTCTCTTACCTCGCTCCACCCATCGCGACGTAACACACGATCACTTTCGCGCACCGGTGAAACCTTCTTCTTCTTCCTCCACCTCTTCTATCTCCTCCTACACTACTTCCTCCTTCCCTTCCTCGCTGTCTTCTTCTCTTTCGTGTTTCTTCCGACCGTTGATTCATTTTACTTGGTTTCTGCAGCCTCCGTTACGAATCCTGCAAACTCTCTCAGAATACTCCCGAATATCTTCAATTGATAAGTGATAAGAAACCGATGAGTGGTAAGAAAAAAGAAATAAGTGCACAGAAACTCGGCGCATAATTTTCTTTTCCTTTAATAAGAAGGAAATCATTGAAACTATTTTACGATATTCCGTTTAAACTATTTTACTGATCAAATAAGATGCAAATGATGTCATGTGTTATCACGGCTGTGCGCGAAATATTTGCGGTGTAGCAATGCGACTACAAAGAGGATTATGTTGCGATACGGACCTGATGGTTAGGAGGAGAAAGTGTGAAAGGAAGAGAGAAAGAGAGAGAGAGAGAGAGACTCGACGCAGAATATGTAAATTGGGGACTCCGTGTGAATGCGGAGATTTATGACGGTCTGTACACATTTCTGGGCGCAATAAATATCAGTAAGTAGCGACGTGCGCGACCATCCTTGGGTCCTTCGCTTCCTCATATATGTACCGTATACATCGATGCCGTTCTTGCGTTAATGCCGCCACAATATCACCGAAGGAACGTTGGAAAAAATGATTACGGTCAATCACGAGATTGGTAGAGATCCCTGCCGTGGAATTCGAGTTCCTAAATTATACTTAAACCACCGGCTCCAGCAACATCCTGAGTGCCCTCTTAGATGAAATATTATTAATCTTTCTGACGTAACTCGGGGCTTTGGGAGTAGAAATATTTAACGTTGAGCAATATAAAAAAAAGATCACTTGCGATCAAACTTTTACTGGGGAAGACTCGACGCCACAAATTTGTCGAGAAGGCTCTATTTTCCTTTTTCTCTCTCATCTCCACGTCTGTCAAGAAGTCTGCAAGATTCATTTTGGACTCGTGTCTATTCTTATTAATCGAAAACATGCATGATATTTGCGAAAATTAAAGAATCTTCATGACGGGCCTGAAAAATCTAAGTAGCATCGTTGATAATGTTCTGGAAAGGACTCTGATAACTATCGTCTCGGTTGAACATCGTCGGGCGGTTTTGCGAAACAAGGATGAAGAAGCCGGACGGAATGAAAGGGGAGGACACGGAGCCCTGGACAGTAGGACGCGCGAGGAAGAGGGCTTGCTCTCCGTGGGTGGTTGCCGAGATCTCTTTCCTTTCGCACGCACAACTGTACGAACGGATACACGCACACGCCTGCCGGTGACGTTCCTCTTAACGCATTCTGCTACTTCGGTAGGTGACGCCCCTGCACCTCGATATCCTCCATCGTTCGTTTTGCTCCAATGCAAGCGAATGCAGCTGCGCCGAGAATCATGCAAACGGGATGAACACGTCGATACGATATTGCCGACGAAAAATGCGCGCTTTACTTGCCGTCTATATATACAAATCATTTGATTGCAGTAATCAAATATTTGCTCGGCAAATATTCATCAAATTTTAGTACTTATTACCAAATTCTTTTTTCACTGTAGTCGATCATGCTCTACAGAAGTAGAAGTGAAAAAACTCACATCACTCACCGCTGAATCAATACAAATTCGGAAAATCTTACCTAAAAGAAATCTCGAAGAAGTTGCTGTATCTTACAAAATGATGTGACGGGAAATCGACATTTTGAAGAACTACAAACTTTCAATCTCATATAATCCGATTATTCGGAAGGCGTAAGAAAAAAATGGCAAGTCAATTGCATCATAAAAGAAGCCGGAGAAAATTATCGAATAGACTTCGCAAAGCGCGGATTATTAATTATTTCCCAAACTCCCTAGGGCAAGATAAAGTGGCCGAAGGGCAACTTTGGACCGATGGAAAATGAAGAAGGGAGAATAACGAGAGCGACGATTAACCTCGTCGTCAGCTGGGTCGTTCTTCGCACCTGCTCATACGCGACGGAGAAGAATTAACTGTCTTCGAAGTCGGACGACTGTGATAATCGAGCGGGCTATAAGCATGGCTATATCCGGCGAGGCGGTCACATAAATCGGCTATTATCGTAGATCAAATTTCTCGCGAGCCGGGTGACATGAATTATTACGGAAAATTAATTTTCTTCAGTGAGAAGAAGTTACAATTATAGTAATTTTCATTAATAGCAACAGATGAATGGCAGAGAGAGGGAGAGGGGAGATAGTGGCGACATGATTCGCAATGAAATTCTTGACCTTCAACAGAGAAGTGTTTCAAAATACTCCCGACATTCTCAGTGCCTGCCGTTTACTTAGATATGCACTTGTTGGCACACGCACATAATTTTATAAATTATAACTAATCAATATATATTCTCTCTCTTCCCTTATATATGTTTATTTACTATTAATTATTATTATCATTTAAAATATAAAAAACATAATTACGTCAGCGCAACCATTATATACATTTTAAAAAGACGTAAATGTCAACGGCAACCAACTACAGTTTATGAAAAGACGTACTATCGCGTCAGCGGCTACGAATATATATTAATAGAAATTGCTCTTATTAATAGAAATAGGAAAAATATTGCTTCCTATTCGTTTCAAATTGTGCTCCTTTCCATTATTTCGTATCGTCAGAATTTCTACTTTTTAAATAAGAATCCTAAGAATAGATATCTGCTCACACTAGTTATTGGAAAACAGAATGCTAAGTGGGCGCATTAAGGTATTTCTTCTAATGATCAATCATGAATACTTCATCTAGATTTACATTAGTTATATATATATTTAAAGATAAGAGAGTGAATCTGTATCTCCTTCTTTTCCCTTTCTCATTCTTTTATTCCCCTCCATATGTCAGGTTCAGCGAATGCTGCAGCCGTAAATGCAGATTTTCT